ACGGAAGACCGACTGTTTTATTTGGTATAATCATTGTGTAAGCATAGACAAGATGAGATTGGTCTTGATAGTCGATAACATTGACTAGTATTCGTCGATATATACTTTCCATTTTATCTAAACGTGCCATTTCATCATTAGAAAGAAGATGATCAACACCGTGAAATTCAGCTCTAGGATCAGGTTCAATATCAGCCATGCCACTTGGACTTCGAAAAATAACTTGATAATTAGGACATACGACTGGATAGGACACAATCGGATGTAGATCTCGTAGATAGAGTGAAATCGGATTATTCATACTGCCAATAGCAAAATACCAAATAAATTGACGACCATCCGGTAAGACGATTTCGGCCTTTTGAGGATCGTTATGTTCGAGAATTGAATCGATAGACGATTGATCAAGACGAACAAGTTTATCACGAATGCTTGCACATGATTGTTTGAAATTTTCATCGCTCAACGATGTATTCAAACGATGTACAGAATCAGCCATTATAAACAATTGAATAGACTGCTCTTGTGTTGCAAGCAATGTGCTCTCACACGACTATCGTTCGTCGAGAATGAAAGGAAAGAAGAAAAAAAACAAAGACAGTAACTACATAGTCGAGAATCATAAACTGCACCATCATCGTTAAAAAATGAAAAAACAAAAGTGAATGACAATGCAAATTTTAGTGTGCACCTTTCACAGTGCATTACGAGATCGAAAAGTGTTCAAACGCATAACTGTTTTGTGATAAAATGCATTTGAAAGGAAAAAAAAGGTTCGTGTTGCATAATAAACAGAATCACTGTAGGAACAAGTTGCATAGAAGCCTTATAGAGTGTGATAGTAGCAGAGTCGTTATCAATAGCAAGATATTTTTCTTTGCCTTCTCTGCATCTTCTCGAGCTTTGGATGAATCGAAAAAGAAAAGATTTGACTGTCTTGTAAGAATCGGACACTCGAATTTATACGGCATGAAGCTCTCATTGTTGTCAGATAGAGCTTATTAAGTAAAAAGATGACTATCAGGTTAATTGAATTCAAAAGAAACAGATGTAAACCAGTCACAAACATACCCCACTTGACAGAATTGTTCGAAAAACATCAATGAAACAAATATGAATCTTTGAACTGGTTGATATACCAAGATATGTTGATTTTTTTTAACGAGTTTTTACAATTCATCTTTAACTCCACGATGTGTTTTCGTCTTGACAAAACTGCTAAGATACGAATCTAACAAGAAAGACTTGCACTTAATTCTATGAATATAGAGTTAAATAAGTTCTAACTTTCGGAATATTACACAGATCGAATAATCCATGGTTGTGAAGAAAATATTCGAATATAGATAGAGTCTAATAAACGATTGTTTTCCAGGTTGAGACTGGCGTCAATATTATAACTAGGATTTTTGTGCAGTCCGTTCAAAAGGAATGATATTTTGACTTATGTTTATCGATACTATAAGATTTTGGCTTTTTGATCATCATATGGCGAACGTTTTCTTCAATCTATATTCAATACAAATGATTATCAATTATCAAAACAAAAAGTGAAAAAAAAAACAGTTTTGCCAATATCAATAAAACGACATCATTTAGTATTTCGAGAAAACAAATAAATTTTTCGATATTTTTTGCATGAAAAATGAGAAACTGCTTGTTCATGATTGAGTAGGTATCTTGCATTCATTTATGATTGTCTTTACCTATAAAATCAAGTTATATCTCTCGCTATTAAATGCAGATATCTTTACGATACTTAAGACAAACTTTATGGTTATTTGCTTGAAAGACATTGTACTACTTATACAAATCTCGCGTTCTCCCACAAATGATTCGATATGAACAACATAAAATTGATACAAAAGAACAACGATTCAATCGATAGTCTATGTGGTAGGTCAGTTGAGAATCTAACAGGTGGCGGATAAAGAATGGAGGTTTTAGTATTTCATAAGTATCTCATGTAGTTTTTATTCTTCAGACTTCTTTTTTTTTTAAAAAGATTCCCATTCAGAATTTCGAAGGTATGCAGTGATCTCCAAAGGTTTTCATGGGTTCCATGGATCTATGATAGTTTTTATAGGTTGCTGTGAGTCTCCGAGGGGTGAGACCTTCTTTTTCATGGGTAGCGCATGAAACAATTGCTTTTGATTGATTTGATTTTTAATCTAATTTTTCAGATTTCTCTAGAATAATCTCATATCATTGAATTAAATATAAATCATTTTTAATCGAGAAGATTAGTAATCTGTTTTTTTTTCAGATTTTTCTCGCGTAAACGATTTTCATAGACTATTTTGGGTGTGGATGTGAGTGTGGGGTGTCGGTGTGGGATGTGCGTGTGGTGTGGGTTTGAGTGAAGGGAAGACTCTAACATTCACATCCACACCAAGACCGACATCCACGCCCCATACTCACACCCATCTACATCCACACCCACACCCACACTTGTCAACATCCACATCCACATCCACACTCCCACCCCGCACCCACTCACACATCCAGCCACTCACACCGACACCCTCTAGATGTGTTCTTTTTTCAATAAAATGATTTATTTTTGTCTATGTTTATTTTATGTGATTAAAGAAAAACAATACGATTGTAAATTAGGAAAATACTGATAGAAGTCTTTTGATAAATGGTGTTGACCAGGACCAGCTAGAAAAACATGTTTAATTTTTGCTGAATTAATTCTAGTTTGTTCTCTTGTGAAATGATTTGTTACACGTTTGAGAAAATCATATTGAACCGATAAAGATATATTATTTGGTAAAACTGATTTTGAATGAAAAAGAAATTGTTCAATATAATCATCATGAACATCAAGAAGACGTAATTCTGTTAAATAAGAATATTCAATGATCGATAAATATTGATCATCTTCATCTGATTTTTTATTTTGTGATTGAAAATTCTCAAGAGTTAATTTTTGAAGAAATGGAAATGCTTCAGATATTTTAATAAAAAATTCATGTTGAAAAGGACGTTCATCAAATAATGATATTTCACGAACACATTTGAATAATCCACCTGGAAAATTATTGCTAATTTTATCATAATTTTCCATTGTATATGGATATGAATAATAATGACATCGAGCAAAATTCTGTTCTGGAAAAAAATCAACACAAGAAATAACTTTATGATTTGGAAAAGTTTTAAATGTAATTTGAATGTCTTCATTTGATCGAATATCAGTTTGATTATATTCATATATCCTTGATTGAATATTAAATATGAAATGATTTAATCTTGGCAAATGATTAATAATATCATTGTTCAAACAATTTCCATCAATAAATTTGTTCTCATCAATTATTAAATATAAATCAAGTCTTTTCAAATTTGACATTCGATGTAAAAGTGGTACAATCGATTGACTATAGCAAAATGTTTCATTCTTACTGATTAATGAAAAACATCTCAAATTATCCAATTTTTTCTATATCAGAAATATTTTTATAATAACTTAAATAGAGAAACTCTAACTTACTTTCATATCAATGTTTGGTGCTATATGATGAATAATTTTAATATTTACATAAAAAATACGAAGTTGATTCAATCGTCCATCAAGTAAATAAAGACATTCGGTCAAACTGGATACATTAATATGCAATTCCCGAAGGAGAGAAGAAAATATTGGAATTTCATCATGAAATGATAAATAGCCAACATCCATATTAGATAATTGAAAGAACCGTAAATGAATTAGATTAGCAAATATTTTAAAAATATTTGTAAACACAAAGTTTGTTATAACATCGTAAGTAAATGCATTTCGATTAGAAATCGAAAAAGTGTCGAAATCTGATTTTTGAATTTCTTAACCAATGAATTTTTCTCTAAACAAATAAATAAATATACTTTTTATTATATCAAACAATCGATTTTTTTCTTTTTAATAACTCTCAAATATACATTTATGTTCCTCTTATTTCATATTTCAATCAAACTTCAATATATATCTTACCATCAAATAGTCGTTCAAGTCCTTCCCATTGAATACTAAGTAAACCGAGTTGATGTAAATTAGAATAATCGTCGACAAGAAAAATACGTTCCATTGACAATGATTCGACAGTAAGCCATTCAATTTTATGATGGATTTTAGGCAAGATTTCTAAACAGAATCGATCTAACATTTCATCTCTTAATGGATAAATATGTCTATTAGATGAACTTCTTATTAACGTTAAACGACGTGTAAATATTGAATCATATAAAATTCTATCGAGTCGTTTATTAATATCCATTAAAGAATAAAGTAATTCTACATTGTTCAATTTTTTAAATATAATAAAAAGTAATTCGTCTGGTAAATCGATCAATTGAACAGAAAAATTTGCCATGTTTACTTACGAGGGAACCGATACAACTGATAAATCGCTTTTGAGTTCCGACTCTGTGCATAAGATAGACCTCCGTGAGGTATGAGAAACCCTGAAAGGACAAGTGCCCATAGGCCTTCTGTCCAGAGTTCTAGGCATTTTATTGGAATTTTAGCCTATGACATGGTGCATACCAATAAATCGAATGACGGTATTTCGAGCTGATATTTTGCTCACAGAGGGGCCTATTTGTGAGTAGAATGTCCTGAAAATTTCAGTTCAAAAGAGTGTTTCCTTCCCAAGATATTAAAGTTCCAAAAAGTAGGAAATTCTAGCGACTTTGTGGGATATGCGCGATTTTTGAGGCTGCAATATCTCGGGAGAAAAATGTTCTTTTGAGCTGAAATTTTTAGGATATACTACTAACAAATAGACCCCTCTGTGGGCAAAATCTCAGCTCGAAATACCGTCATTCGATTTATTGGTATATACCGTGTCATAGGCTAAAATTCCAATAAAATGCCTAGAACTCTGGACAGAAGGCCTATGGGCACTTGTCCTTTCAGGGTTTCTCATACCTCACGAGGGTCTATCTTATGCACAGAGTCTGAACTCAAAAGCGATTTATCAGTTGCATCGGTCCCCTCGTTAGAATAGAATATTTTTCTGACATAATATATATGCTCAATTTTTCTATTTGACCGCTGCCGTCGAAAAGAAATGAACACTTCTTTATTTGAAATCGACGGAGAATGAATAATATTTTTTTCTTCATTGCGTGAAAAAAAAGTCTGATATGTATAACATCGACAGAGAGTTCATCACTTGCAATATGAATCGGACAGTGCATAATAAATGAAGTTCGTTTCTAACAGAACTCCGAATAGAATAATTCGATAAAAAAAAAATCTTCTCAATCTGAATTCATTTCTTGTATATCATCTTTTATTTTTCTTTGAAAATTCATCTGAAGAAAGCGTGTCACACAAAAGAATAAAAAAACCGTTATATCGATGAAAACAGGTTGAATTATTTCAGACACATCTTTTTTTTTTATCATTCCCATTACGGTGTACTTGAGACTAGTGACCGGCGTGACTGCCGTGACTATCAGTGAGTCACGGTCACAGTCACGGCCGTGACCGTGCGTGACTTTTTTTAAAGATCGTGACCGTGGCCGTGACTGGAGCTTGGTCACGGTCAGTCACGGGAACTTTCTCGAAATTTTGGAAATCCCTGAGGGGGAGTAAGGGGACCTTTGCGAAGCTACCGTCTCCCACCCGCTCATCAGTTTTTATGAATAATTTGGAAGTTTCTAGTATTCGTGATTTTGGAAACTCCTGAGGGGAAGTACGGACACCTACGCGAAGCTACCCTCCTCCGATCATCACTTTTAATAGCAAACAGAACCCTAGTCTCAACTCTGTTCATTCCTTTAGAAATTTTGCAAGGATCTGTCAGGATTCTAAATCTCCAAGATCTTATCAAGTTTTCCTCAGGATCCCGGCTCAATTCCTGATAATTCCTGCTGCCGGGATTTCTCACAGTTATACAGGATCCTGTTTAGGATTTCTTTCCGTATCTGACCAGATGTGTTTGTAGATAATGAATACAAGATCCTTCAAGGATTCATTCATGATCCTGCTTAGGATCCTAAGAGGGATAATGGAGAGGATTCTCTCAAGATTTTATCAAATTTTAGACAAAATCTGATGCGGATCTTGACACAAGGATCCAGTCAACTTTTGTAGCTAAAACTGAGGAGCGTCGCAACAAAAAGTCAACAAGAGAGCATA